GACAATCAAACACACAAGTTAATGCGTGTAACAATTTTTTTCCATAAAAGACTAAATGACAAAAGACAAAATCACATTTTCTAATCACATCCAACACATCCAACTAATGTGTGGCCACAGGTTTATTATCTACTGTACTGTTTGTTGTTAGTACCTAAACCAAATTTTGTGGTGTAAAATCAGCAAATCTGTAATTCTGATTTGAAACTTTGAAATAAGAACATCTTGTTTCTCATAGTTTTTAAGGTATATATAGGTCAATATATATAAAAAAACATTTAGTACATGTATCCTGGTCTGTATGAAACTTATTGACTTGCTTGCTTTGCATTAACAGCATCAAGACAGAGAGTTATTCTCATCTGAGGAGGACAGCAGTCTCTACTTCACCTACAGCGGAGGCTGCAATGTGCTGGAGGTCAAAAACCTTTGCTATGAGGTAACTATAGGTCACCTGCTCTTATCTTACATGAGTTTTCTCAAGCTCCTGACTGGTTCATGTGTATACATGCTGCAGGTGTTCATCGTGTACGTGTGTTTATGTTCACAGGTGGATACAGCAGCTCAGATCCCGTGGTACGAGAGGCTGTCAGAGTTCAAAATGCCGTGGGAAATTAAAGGAAATAAGCAGACAGCCATCAACAAGCTGAGCCTCACTGTCCACAGCGGACAGATGCTGGCCCTTATTGGCAGCTCAGGTGACGTACAAAGATTTGAAGTATTGCTTTATTAAATAAAGTAATAGATACGCTTTGCTCCACCAGAACAGTAAAGAAAAAACTGCATTTTCTCGAAGAATAAATGTGTGTTAAGTAAAAATAAGTAGAAAATCTGCTAATTTGGAAGACTCATAGATGCATTCCTCCTGTTCTATATTGCTTATGGTTTGTTTTTTTGAACATAAGCAAAGATGAGAATGTCTTGAATTCAATATGTTTTCAGGTTGTGGTAAAACGTCTCTGCTGGACATAATAACTTGTCGGGATGAAGGAGGCATCACGAAGTCCGGTGAGATTCTAATTAATGGGAAGCGCAACACGCCCCAGCTCGTCAAGAAAAGCATCGCTCACGTCCGCCAAGACGATCGGCTTTTTCCTCACCTCACCGTCCGAGAGACTCTCTCCTTTGTTGCCAAACTGAGGTTGCCCACTCACTTCACACAGGCTCAAAGGGACCAGAGGGTAAGATTAAGACTGGTCAATAAATGGGACTCAAACTATTTCCATAACAGTATTTGCATGATTGTTTGGATTGGGAGGTTCTTGTTTATCCATTTTATAATAGAGCCGTTGTCAGCATGTTTATCACATTCTCGTTAAGGCATGCCCTTTTAAACTCTTCGGAGTTTTTGTTGAACAAACACATGTTAAATGATAAGAATGCTTGTATGTGTCCAGATAACAATGACTAACAGTGTCTCTGGTTGCTGTCTGTCACAGGTGGATGATGTTATCGCAGAGCTGCGGTTGCGGCAGTGTGCACACACCAGGGTGGGAAACAACTACATCAGGGGGGTTTCTGGTGGAGAGAGGAGGAGAGTCAGCATAGCTGTCCAGCTTCTCTGGAACCCCGGTGAGAGATATTAACACAGACATAAATTAATGTGGTCCCCTGAACTGTCATTTATGTTGTTAAGACAGGGCAATGACTCAAACTGAAGTCCCAATCCAAGCAGCAGCTTTTATATATGGCACACTATTTTAATTGTGTCCTCTACAAGCCACTTTGCAACCCACCTCCAGTGCCTCCTTTCCATTTAGCATCTGACTGTAATCAGTGTCATATATGTTGTCTTTATTTCAACTTCTACAGTTACTATAGATGGATATAACATTTTTAACCCTTGTGTTTATGCAAGTTTTAAATGTTTCAGCTCTAAACAGGGTATTTCGCGCCCTTTCTGAACATCTATAAACTACTGGGAAGTGACACGAGTGTAACAGTTTTTCCTGTGAATAACAAACACATTTGACTAATTACTGACTTTAACAATCACGATTCCTCCATTATTTTCGAGCTCATACTGTTAAGATCTGTTATATAAAGAACAGGGTTTATCAGAGGTGATAGATTGGTCTATTTCCCCTCTCAGGTATTTTGATCCTGGATGAACCCACATCAGGTTTAGACAGCTTTACAGCTCACAACTTGGTGATCACACTGTCCCGTCTGGCTCGGGGAAATCGTCTGGTCCTGCTTTCAGTCCACCAGCCTCGATCAGATATCTTTCAGCTCTTCGACCTCGTCGTCCTGATGTCTTCAGGTTCAGCTGTTTACTGCGGTGCAGCTCGTGAGATGGTGCCTTACTTCACTGCTCTGGGACACCCCTGCCCACGATACTGCAACCCCTCTGACTACTACGGTTAGTAAGTGTGTCAAAAGAGAATTAAGATGTGCTTCTTCCCAGCATGCAATAACATCTTCTTACCAACCCCATGCTCAATGGTAACTTAAGGAAAGCTGGGACCCAACAATTTACCACTAAGTTTCCAAAAGAAGCATTTGTTTTCATCTTAATGATAAATACTACATCTCTTTGTGTTTTTCATTCTTTTAAACCTATTCAAGCCTCATGTTGTTGGTGTCCTGTGTCTTTTATGTGTGTGTGTGTATCCAGTTGATCTGATCAGTATAGACCGGCGCAGTCCAGAGCGAGAAGCCGAGTGTTTGGAGAGGGCCAGAGTTCTGGCTGAGCAGTTCATGGAAAAGGTCCGTGATACTGACGACCACATGTGGAAAGCTGCTGGGACTGATGTAGCGCAAACCGACAGGTGATCATGTTTTTGTGTTGAAGTTTGGCTTTTTTAAAATTTTATTTTAGTTGTTCATTCAATAATAAAACAGTAAGTAGTGATAATGAACCAGCATTTTTCTAATAAAGCATAAGATTTTCTGTATTTTTTGTAAGAAATAACACCACAATATCTCTGGTTACAGCTTTCCAGATATAGGGATTTACTGTTTTTTGTGATTACCTGTTGTAGATGCTTAAAAATCCTTTATGGTCATGCTTAAGCTGTGGACCAGACCTTTAAAACCCAGACTAACTCATCCATTCCTCTTTTTCCCACACACAGCAGCCCTCAGCAGCCAAGCAGGAGAAAAGAAGATGAA